AACCGGCGCGCTGTGTGCAGCTTCTGAGAAGATATGCTATTAGCGTAGCGGGCGCTATGCAAAATGTGCAGCCGGCTTCCTCGCTACGCTAATAGCGTATCTTCTCAGAAGCTGCACACAGCGCGCCGGTGTGCAGCTGATGGCATTATTCTGCATTGCTGTATAATGTATTCCTGGTATTTATAGTCCAATTCTGGACGGAACGCACTGCAGCATTTTGATCGGACCGCACTGCAGGCACAATGTGCCTTGCGATCCCATGCGGGCGATCGCATTGCGGCCGGAGGGCGTGGCTACGGTGCCATTCACTTCAATGGCCCGCAACGCCCCCTCCAGCCCGGCAAAAAGTGAGCCGGCCGCAATGCGAGGCAGTGCGTTCCGGGCAGAATCGGACCGGAACGCACTGCTTATGGTGTGAACTAACCCTTACTGTGTGCATGGTATCTTTCTTACGGTTGCCACCTAGTGCCTGGATTGTGGAACTTTGGTGGTAGCGCTCACAATTGTTCAGCATGCTGCCCAATTTTTTAAGACAAATGACATCATCCATCTTCACTTGTCTCTGTACCCAATCAAAAGGTATCCCCCCTGTGCATGACACCTTTATTAACCAGAAGAGCCCCTCTTTGATTCACCTTCACTTTGTGACTGGGGCCTCACTTGTGTGATTTTTTTGTTAAGCCCTGCCAACTACCATTTCACTGTCCAATGAGACTCAATGGCCAGTAAAGTCAGAATTCAGGAGCAAAGTGAAACTAAATCAGTGAAGGGCACAGAAGAGGTTCATAAAGGTACCAGCGGGCATCCTGTGTGTCTCCTCTCAGGCAGAAAAAACACTGTTAAGTTTAACACTGAGCAATGTTCACTTTGGGACCTGGTATGTAACCCTTAAAGGAGAACGCGGTATACTGAGACCGCCGCAGCCGGGACGGATCCCGACATTACTGTCTTGATCCACCCAGCTGCGTGATTGACAGCTGGCCCTGCCTATCTAGAGGCAGAGCCAGCTGTACCCGCCCCCTACCCCGTCTGTTCCACAAGTCAGCGCTGGAGGATCGGGGAGGGAATCCCTGCAGGGAGCTGTGACAGTCACGGCTCTCTGCAGGGACAGGATCGAGAAGTGAGCGAGCGACGATATGTGTTCTCTCACTTCCCGATCTATAGAGTTGGCCTGTGACAGTTTCATTGTCACAGGTCGGCTCTAACTATGAGGATGAGTGAAAATCAGTCACCTCATAGTTCTCCTTTGAAGTGGCTCTGTAGCTTTACTAAAAAGATCAGAACTGCTCCCTGCAAGAGAAGAAAATGAATACTTACCTCACTGGTGTCGTTCGGACTCGCCGTCCACCAGAGAGGTAAGTAGTTATTGGCTTTTTTTGCAGGGAGCAGTTCTTCATAAGATTTTGATGAAGTGACACAATCGCTCTACCTGTTTGGACTTTACAGTTCTTCTTTTACAGGTGATTTGTTAGATGTCCAAATGCATGTAGTCTTTGTGTTCAGAATGGTGAAGAATTTGATTTTATGCATCTTAAAATAAAATATATGTATAATATTTCTATTCTTTCTGATCACACCACTTCATAGTGTTTCCACTAATTTTTTTTAATGTGATCAAATGTAAGGAAAAAGAAAGTAACACATGTATACGTAAGGCAGGGAATGTTTTATTGACAAACCCAACACAGAAATGTATTGACTGGATCTGTCGTAGAGTTTCAAGTGTTTTGGACCAGAACAGGTAAATGCAGCAAAAATACATTGGAACATAAAGTTGCTACACACAAACCAACTGGCTTAGCAATAAAAAAATGTCTTTTTCTCAGATGTTTTGTTGTTCCCCGTGAAAAGCAGCACCATTTAATACTCTTCTCCTTCCTCTTCACCATCTCCGTCCACAGAATCTACACCGACCTCCTCATAATCCTTCTCCAGGGCAGCCATGTCCTCGCGGGCCTCAGAGAACTCTCCTTCCTCCATACCCTCACCCACATACCAGTGCACAAAGGCACGCTTGGCATACATAAGATCAAACTTATGGTCCAGTCGAGCCCAGGCCTCTGCAATAGCAGTGGTGTTGCTCAGCATGCACACAGCACGCTGTACCTTGGCCAGATCACCACCTGGTACCACAGTTGGTGGTTGATAATTAATACCAACCTTGAAACCAGTAGGACACCAGTCCACAAACTGGATACTACGCTTCGTTTTGATGGTGGCAATAGCAGCATTAACATCTTTGGGCACCACATCACCACGGTACAACAGGCAGCAAGCCATGTATTTACCATGACGTGGGTCACATTTCACCATCTGGTTAGCTGGCTCAAAGCAAGCATTGGTGATCTCAGCCACAGAGAGCTGCTCATGGTAGGCTTTCTCAGCTGATATAACTGGGGCATAAGTGGCAAGAGGGAAGTGGATACGAGGGTAGGGCACCAAATTGGTCTGGAACTCTGTCAGATCTACATTCAGGGCTCCATCAAATCGGAGAGAGGCTGTAATAGAGGACACAATCTGACCAATAAGCCTGTTGAGGTTAGTGTAGGTGGGGCGCTCAATATCTAGGTTTCTACGGCAAATGTCATAGATGGCCTCATTGTCCACCATGAAAGCACAGTCTGAGTGCTCCAGGGTGGTGTGAGTGGTCAGGATGGAGTTGTAGGGCTCAACAACTGCTGTTGACACCTGGGGAGCTGGATAGATGGAGAATTCCAGCTTGGACTTCTTTCCATAATCAACAGAGAGACGTTCCATCAACAGAGACGTGAAGCCAGATCCAGTACCGCCACCAAAGCTGTGGAAGACCAGGAAACCTTGAAGTCCTGTGCACTGGTCAGCCTGTAGATAAATAATAGATTAGAATAATAAATGGAATGTATAAATGTATATGTAATGTATGCATAAAATATATCATATGGTAAACCATTCTCTTATGAGCATTAAGAACCTTAGATAGATAGATAGATAGATAGATAGATAGATAGGACGTAGAAAGAACGATAGTCTATTGTTTCGGATGGTGTGGGCCAGCATCTGCATATTTTTTAAGGTAGCAGTGTATATCCAGATCCGTAAGCCAATGGCAAAATATACCCTGATGGAATCAGACCAATGTACTTAATAAAGTGAGCAGTTTTGGAATTCGCACCATACAGTTGTAAGCTTACCAGTTTGCGGACTCTGTCCAGCACCAGATCAATGATTTCCTTGCCAATTGTGTAGTGACCACGAGCATAGTTGTTGGCAGCATCTTCTTTGCCAGTGATTAACTGCTCTGGATGGAATAGCTGTCGGTATGTGCCTGTGCGTACCTCGTCTGCAAGAAATGACAAAAATTAGGTGAAAATGCAAAGAATATTTATTGATGACAATATTAGATAAGCTGTCTCTTGTTATGTTAGCTACGTTATAGCTGAAAGACCATGAAAAGTTCATTCAGTACTGAATAAACCTTCTACTAAAGAACTAGCTAATGCTTAAAGGGAATGTATCAGTAAGGAAGGCGTGCTAGAATAGGCATCAGATCAATAATTAGACAAAATATCCTTCTTTACGTACTCTGATTAAGAGGGCCAGTTCACTGAAAACGAATAATTCAGTGTTTGATGCCAGAAAATAAACCCATCAGATTGGGAAATCTGGTGGGGAGATCTCTGCTCTTAAGTTCTTGTGGCCATTACGAGGGGATCCCACTGTTCCTGTTGGATGCTTTAATAATGTTATATTGTGCAGAATGAAACAGTAATATATGGAACACACAAAGGTCAACAGAAACACCCCAAACTCTTAGGTGAACAGTCAGGAATTATGGCAAACAGATCTGTTTTAGAGTATCAAAGACATATAAGAAGCCAGGGACTGATCGAGTCCACGAGGATCCACCTAGAAATACAATATCACTCTCATTGACCCTTTAATATTACAGATTTAATAATAAATTATCTGTGGCTGTAGACAGGAATACAAATGTTTTATGGTATAAAGGCAGACAGCAGTGCCCAGAAACCCCAGACATGTGAGGCTTCCTGCCGTAAAGTCGGAGATATAAAAAGAAGACACAAAACTGCTAGTCAACAATGTGATTTTACAAACCAACCTCTAAACTGTTTCAGTTTGCCATGCGTCGCTGTGATCTTGTTTCTTAGGTAACATATCTGCTTAAATAAGAAACTGTAATAAAAGGAAGGATTTCTACAATGTGCACTGTGTTTAAAGATACACATACTGAGACAACACCTACATAATAATAGGGCTGATATAAGTACTGCATGGAAAACGCAGGTTGAGCCCATAATAAAAAAGATCTTACGTTTCACTTTTAATACTAGACAAATAATGTTTGTTAATAATTTATTAATAGTCTCTTTCCTCCACATAAGAGAAAATGTTTTAATATAAAAATGTAATTTTCTAATTTATTAACCACACGGACAGCAAGATTACAGTGTTGCAGAGCAGGATGAGACAATGCAGAAAAGATTTCTTGTTCGTCTTTCCATTACCAAGCACTGATATAATAAACAGAAATATTTAAAACATCCTCCAGTGTTGAAGAAGATTTTCCCACAATGCTCTAAGTCTAACAAAGTCTAGATGTTACAAATAATTATTCAAAAGGCCTAGAAATGGAGTGTGTTTAATATTACGCTGCAACATTAACCTTGGTGAAAATGATTTAATGTTTCATTATATATCATTTATTAAAACGTGTATGTATATCATATCTAAAAGAGTTTATAAACATACAAATTGTGAAAATGGCACAGAAATCGTTTTTCTTCCTTTTCCACAGAAGCTTTAAAGTGCTTACCAATGACAGTTGGTTCCAGGTCCACAAAGACAGCCCTGGGGACATGTTTTCCAGCTCCAGTCTCACTGAAGAAGGTGTTGAAGGAATCGTCCCCTCCTCCAATGGTCTTGTCACTTGGCATCTGCCCATCAGGCTGGATGCCATGTTCCAGGCAGTACAACTCCCAGCAGGCATTACCAATCTGCACACCAGCCTGACCAACGTGGATAGAGATGCACTCACGCTGCACAGGAAACAGAGAAAAGGTTGTCACTGCTTAGTTTCAGTGTTTGTTCTGTTTAATAGCTCTTTAAACGATAATAAATACATGCTATGTTTCTATCACACTCCACTTTTACAATGGGAACATTTAAACAAATGCCAGGAAAAGGAAATTAATCAGATTTTCTCATTTCCTTTTCACCCCCCTTCCCCCCTTTTATGACAATATCTAGAGAATATACATGAACAGGCACTATATTATATATTTGTGATTTTGGCTTATGGTGTATAAATACATATATGTATAAAGATAC